GGAATCATAAGTGGGCAGAGGGCTGTTACTATCATGTCCTGGCTCTGGGCATGCCATAGCCATTTGGTAGCCATTATGGGAACAGGATGCTGGACCAATGAGCCTTTAGTGTGATCCAGCAAGGGGGGGGGCAATGTTTGCTAAAGGTACCCTGCATCTCAATTTCCTATGTGTGGTTATTAAATTCTTAAAATAGGCTTACTATTCCTATGCAAGTTCGGGGGGGGGAATTGTTCACTCTTGTATTCCTTTTAAGATCAAATCTATGGCTATTTTAATATTTGTGAGTGGTTATATCATCTCTTGAATTGACCCTATTCCTTATAAAAGATTCTCTCCCTATCTAATCTTAGGAAAACTGTTCACTTGTATCTTTCTTTAAAGATCATTTCTCTAGGAACTTTCACTCTTTAGTCTAAGGAAGTAAACTCTCACTCAAACTATCTTAAGATCTGCTAAAAGGGTTCTGGATAAAGTTGGGTACTTTTATTTTCCTCTTCCTTAGTATACACGTGTGTGCTTGCATGATAGGAGCATAGCTTGTGTTTCCTTCCCCAGTTGTGTCTGTGTACATAAGTATGTATGTCTCTCTCTGGTAGTACAAATTTTGCTATGAACTCTATATTTTAGAGGATTGGACTAGGTGATGCCAGGGTTCCTTCCAACTGTCCCAATTTTATGACTATGTGGAAGGCAATGTGTCTGCAAGCATTGGAGGGTAATTTTTACCCAGCTCTACCTCTCTTTTAAATCAGAACCAGTGAAGGCAGTGAAGGTCCTTTGTGAGTGTCTAGAAGCGGTTGGAGGATGGAAGGCGGCTAACAGATTGAGGTTGAATCCTGACAAGACAAAAGTACTCTTTTTGGGGGACAGGAGGCGGGCAGGTGTGGAGGATTCCCTGGTCCTGAATGGGGTAACTGTGCCCCTGAAGGACCAGGTGCGCAGCCTGGGAGTCATTTTGGACTCCCAGCTGTCCATGGAGGCACAGGTCAAATCTGTATCCAGGGCAGCTGTTTACCAGCTCCATCTAGTACGTAGGCTGAGACCCTATCTGCCTGCGGACTGCCTCGCCAGAGTGGTGCATGCTCTGGTTATCTCCCGCTTGGACTACTGCAATGCGCTCTACGTGGGGCTACCTTTGAAGGTGACCCGGAAACTACAACTAATCCAGAATGCGGTAGCTAGACTGGTGACTGGGAGCGGCCGCCGAGACCATATAACCCCGGTCTTGAAAGACCTACATTGGCTCCCAGTATGTTTCCGAGTACAATTCAAAGTGTTGGTGCTGACCTTTAAAGCCCTAAACGGCCTCGGTCCAGTATATCTGAAGGAGCGTCTCCTCCCCCATCGTTCTGCCCGGACACTGAGGTCCAGCTCCAAGGGCCTTCTGGCGGTTCCCTCACTGCGAGAGGCCAAGTTACAGGGAACCAGGCAGAGGGCCTTCTCGGTAGTGGCGCCCGCCCTGTGGAACGCCTTCCCATCAGATGTCAAAGCGATAAATATCTACCTGACATTCAGAAGACATCTGAAGGCAGCCCTGTTCAGGGAAGTTTTTAATATGTGACATTTTAGTGTATCTTTCATCTTTGTTGGAAGCCACCCAGAGTGGCTGGGGAAACCCAGCCAGATGGGCGGGGTACAAATAATAAATTATTATTATTATTATTATTATTATTATTATTATTATTATTATTATTATTAAGTTCTGGTGTATGGTGATGGGTTGAAGTTCAGCCCAGCTTTGCTTTTTGGTACAGAAAGATGGAAAGATTGGTTTTTAGAGTTTAGAATAAAGAGTTTTAAAGGGTGAGAGGTGAAAGCCGTGATGTTTTTGAAGCAGAACTGGTGATAACAAGCATTTGAGTGATTATCTAACAGTTTTTACCATTTTGTCTATTATTTAAAAATCAGACTTCAAAGTCTATTCAAAGTTTAAGCACATACAAATTCATAATCAAGCGGAATGAGCCTTGACCATCCCTGTAAATAAAGGGCAGAAAAATTTGTCTGCAAATGGTAGGGCTGAAATGACTGAGAATGTTAAAGATCTTATTATGAATTCTGACTCTCTGGGCATTTTTACCCATTAATAAGGGAGCGGGTGATTGTTCCGCGAATGACCAGAGGGGGAGCACACAAAATAATGTTAGCCCACATTTTTTAATAGAGACCTGCACCCCAATTTCCTGTACATAAAGGAGGCGGTGCTCCCAAATTCCCCTTGCCTGGTGTGCAGGTATACTTATTTGGTGAAGAAAGCATGATCCCTTAGAACTGAGTTAACAGAAATTTAGTTTGACCAACTTCTATTGCTGGTGTTGGTGAAAACTTGAATTGCTGAGTTTCTCTTCTCATTTTAAATCTAACCCTATTTTAAAATATACTCCTTACCCTTCCCTTCCTTTATTCAAATGGTAATTTGGCCAAAAGATGCAACATTTTTAATGGTATAAAAGATTTGCTGAAACATGAACTCTGCACATGCACAGAGGCTATGTCAGCTTAAAAGAGATGAGGGGGAGAGAGGGGGGAAAGAAAAAAGGAGGTTTGGAGAGAGAGCAGATTGCAGGGAGACATTTATTCAAATTTCTTTATGAACAACTTGGAACCATTGAGGGAAATCACCCTTATGTGTCCTTTGCTCCAGGGTCTACTTAAGGAAAACAAAAGGATTAAGTACTGGACCCTCAAAAGTCAAGAGGTTGCCAAGTTCCAAATCTAACATGCCAAATTCTTTCCATGGGTAAATATCAGAGCACTCCCACTTTGAGTTCCTCTCTTGAGTAGTTCCCCCACCACCACCACCAAAGGGATTTAAATGAATTTTATAACAGGTTTTGTTTTGTGTGTATATGCCTATGCATTTTAGGAACAGCATTTCCTGACAGCTTTCACATGAAAAAATTTCCCCTTTCAACAGGATTCGTGAACCTCTAAGAAGACTCAACCCCATTTACAAAGTGGTTGTCCCTTCTTTTCTCCCACAGTACAAATAATAATAATGAGGGGATATAAACAGTAATTTAAATATTCTATATCCAAGGTTCTCAGAAAAGTAATTGCATTTGTATTAGTGGCTTTGAAACTTTTAAAGTTACAAATAATCTGTTTTCATTTATTATGTGACTGATATTTAATGGGTTTGTTGTGTATTATGTGTTATTATGTAGGAATATTGAAATCTGTTTGATAGTGTGTTATTTCCACAAAGGGGGGCCCCAGTTTTTGTGCATAATTGTTTTTATGTTTAATGTATAGTGTCTTATTGCTTACACCCCAATGGAGGATTCTCATGCATTTTATGTTTTCTAATAGATCAGGCTATTGCATAGTCCAGTATTTAGATTAGATCAATTTATGACCACATTTCCTTGTCCCACCTGGCACTCTATCAACCTTCCCTACCCATTTTAAAATGTGTTTTAACTCGTTTTACCAAGGAGAAGCTTCAGGGTCCATGAAAACACCAGATACATGAAGGTATATATGCCTTGATTTCGCAGGAATGATCCCGTATAGAGTTAAACTGACTAATTTGGGCAAGTGCCCTTTTTGAGTATGGTTTTGTTTTAACATTGGTTTAGAATGTGTTAACCATGGGACTAAATAAATTCTAATTGAGCTCAGTTCTGATTGGGCATGTATCCCAGGTGCACTGAACTTTCTCTGGTCCCCTTAGAACAACTGAGCAACTTTCCTAGAGTGCAAGACAAATGCCAATAATAATAAAAATGCAATCCCATAGAGAGGCAAAGGCAAAGACATCTCTCTCACTAAATGTCCAAACCAATGCTAGGGACAAGGTGACATGGTCAAGATGAAAGCCCTAAGGGGATTCATCAGGAGGTGTTGCTGTGGGTATGTTGGAGGTGTGAGTCCAGAGAACTAACTTTGACACTTGGGAACACACAAAAAAGCAGAAACAAAACAAACTGCATTTTTCAGTCATTGGTGGACCTTCCTGCTAAATGTAAAGCATAGACCACTATGGAGAAAATGTTTCTCCCAAAGTGCTAGAATGCCACAAGTAATTTAGTAACAAAATGCAACATGTGTTATTTTTATGTGATATCCTATGTTCAGCTATGTGCACTGCTACAGTTGCAAATAGCCTTAAGGGGCCTGACATGCAAGACTTTTCAGATTTACACAAAGGCATCCATTTCCAACATACTACATTAACATTTTGTGGGGCAAAGAATTTTTTAAAGAAAAAATTATAGCCCCAAAGGGGGGGTTGAAAAAATAAAATAAAAGATACACACACACACACACACACACACACACAAATGTACAAAGCAAGCATGTACATAAATAAATAAACCAAATGTCTGAAGCAGCACAGGAAAGCAGCCATTAAGCCATTTTGGCTCCCAAACTGACCAAATGTTTTCTCTGCAAAGGAAAATGGAAAAGCCTACCCATTGTCTTTTCCTTCACAAATCCTGTTTTAAGGGTATACAGTGGTCCCCCGCAAGACGAATGCCTCGCAAGACGGAAAACTCGCTAGACGAAAGAGTTTTCCGTTTTGGAGGTGCTTCGCAAAACGAATCTCCTATGGGCTTGCTTCGCAAGACGAAAATGTCTTGCGAGTTCCTGCGGGGTTTTTTCCCTCCCCCCTTTTTCTAAGCAGCTAAGCCGCTTATCAGCTGATCCGATAAGCCGATAAGCCGCTAAAAGCCGCTAATAGCGCTAATCCGCTAATCCGTCAATGGGCTTGCTTCACAAGACGAAAAAACCGCTAGATGAAGAGAATCACAGAACAGATTCTTTTCGTCTTGCGAGGCACCACTGTAATCTGTGTATGAATAGGGTGAGCCTGTGACTTGGCTCAGGAACTAAGTACGCACTCAAATTTCTGGTAAACATACTCAGATTTCTGTTGTAGACCACCCCTTTCTGTGATGTATGTATGATGTTTCTGGGGGTGGTCTTGGACTCCAGGGCAGGCAATTTAAAATGTCTATATAAGGGCGGGCACACCTGGGTTCTGGGTCCTCCTCCTCCTCCTGCATGTTAAGGGGGCACCCTGTTGCAACAATTCAATAAAGATCAGGGGTTTTATTACTCAGCTGATACGCACAGGAAAAAAGATTAATATATACAGGCACACAAAATATATAATTATAATTCTAACCAGTCTGACAATTGAATATAGCTTTGGAGAAAATAGCTCTATGTATTGTTACCTTAACCTGTTTTTATGAAGCAATTTAATGTCAAAACAAAGGCTCAGGATGCAAGCAGCTCCCTTTTAATCCAATCTTACGGAGCTCAAACAATTGAGCCACTGAGTTTGAGGTCTCTTCTTGTATAGTCTAGTCTAGATGTTTTTGGGACTCCCAATTCACATCAGCACCAGACATGGCAAACAGTCAGGGACTATAGCAGTTGCAGTTCACTGATATCTGGAAGGTCACAGGTTAGCTACCCGTACTCTGACTGCACCACTAGAAATGTTGGATATTTCTGAACAGCTCTCTGCTCGTGTGAAAGCGTGTTGTGTGAAAGTGTGTTCTGGTGAAATAATTCTAGATTCAGGTGCCATGTGCTGGGAGTAAATTCAACCGAGCACTTGATAATGCCCTAAACGTTTAATTTTTCAGCCCTAAGTTTTAAAAGAATTCCATGACACAGCTTCATTTTAAACACTGGCATGGATCCAACATTACTTTGAGCAGATCCTGCTCGTGAAGGGAGCGGGATTCAACTCCCCCCTGCAATGGCCCTGTAAATGTGCACAGTACAGAAAGAGACACCGGGGGGTTGATGGTGTAAGTGGCTTTCCAGCTTCCTACAGTAGGTACCTTTGCTGTAGTCCCTTCTGCAACGAGGAGCCATTCCGTTTGCAGAAGGACATCTCTCTGTCCCAATTCATAGTTCTTAAATGGTGTATACACTTCTTCTGAGCCTTAGGTTTGTTAAATGAAGCTTCAGAAACTCTCTGTTCTCACATTTAACAGCACACGTCTCACACACAAACCCATTTTCTGTCAGCATAAAGTGCCACATCATAAAACTGTGTTTCTCCCCAAAAAATTTTTTAATGAACAATATATACTATTCCATACAAAGACAACAAATCTGTGGAAATATGAGAGATTAAAAATACATTCAAGTCGGTTTGAAACATAACAGGCAAAACAGCTGTTTGCCTCTCTATACAAACCAGCTCATTTCCTCTCTACCTAGTGCTTAATGGCTAGGATACATTCAATAATTGATTATTTTGGTACTGCGAGTATTTTGTTGGATTATATAAAAGGTAAGCATTGAAGTTAAAAAAATAACTTTATAAAATAGTATATCCTTGATTGTGCCAAGGCATGTTTAGCTCTAAATGAACATATACTGACTATATCATGATTTGAGGGGAAAGAACAGTAGGATAACCACTTTTATCATAAACAGAAGATAGGCAAATAGCATAGGCTTGTCCCTTCTTTTATGTTTTTCCCCAAAAGCTTTTGAATTTTATCCAACTAAGTTGTACTCAGAGCAAACTCACTGAAATTAATGGAGCTATATTAGCCATGTCCATTAATTTCAGCGGTTCTACTCTTAATAGGACTTACATTGGATACAACCTATTGTATTTTAATACTTTGTTGGAAGCTGCAACAAACGGAATTTTAACTCATTTGAGCTAAGACTGACATTTTCCACTACTAATTTTCTTTCTACGTTTACATTTTTTTATAACACAACCTTCTTATACAAACCATAATCAAACAACAGATATTAAAGCTGTTCAATGCAATACAAGTCTCCTTCTGGCCTTTGAATTATGGTTTTTGTCATCTCTGTGTACACTGCAGTCTGCTTTCATTGGTGGTGTAAGTTCAGGGGCAACAATATCACCATCCTATCAAAGCATCAAAATAAAGAAAAGAAGTTCAGTTGTTCACTGGAAATTAAGTCAATACATTGTCATCTTCTTGGCAAGTGGAGCAAGACACTCATTGGAGCCTTTTTACACATCATATTACAAGAAAAACATTCTTGCGCTGCCTTTTCCCACTGTCAGGAAAGGGTAACTCATGCTGTACCCCATTTATTTGTGGCAGTCACTTCTCAACAAATTTTATGTACTCATCATTTGCAAGGATCTTAATAAACAGATACAAAACTTCTAGCTAGTGGTAGTATTACAGTTGTTTTAGAATGTAAACCATAAAGGCTAGATGGTCCTCCAATGAGATTTCTGAGATTTTTAGAATTATCAAGTCCCTTGTGTTCATAATGTGCAGAAGTAATAATGGGTTGGTGATAGAGGAGACTATGGAAGAATGAACAGGTGATGAACAAAAGGAATACAGAGAATGAGGTAGTTCTGAATCTCATAGCTCAGTTGGTTAGAGTGTGGTGCTGAGAACGCCAAAGTTGCAGGTTCAATCCCCGTATGGAATAGCTGCATATTACTGCATTGGACTAGATGATACTCAGGGTCCCTTACAACTCTACAATTCTATGATTCTACACTGAGATGCACCTGCTAAATGTTAAACCTTTCTTACCTGTGGTTTAGTGAGACTTTCACACCACTGATCGAAATATTTTTTAGCATCACGGATAGTCTCTTCATCCGCTGCCTTACAATAAACCCTGATTTGCTGCTCTTCAAATTTTTCTGGTAGGAGCTGTGAAACCTTAAGACAGAAGGAAAAAGAAGTCACATACACTTAATTTTATCACCTTGTCAGAAAAAGTTCAACAAATTTCTCAGCAGCACCATTCAGTTACAAGAATGTTTGCACAGGGCAATTTCACCTTAAAACCACTTGCATTCAGTGGGCACATACATAGCAGGTGATATTAGAACTCGGTTGCTACTACAGTGGTGCCTCGCAAGACGAAATTAATTCGTTCCGCAAGTTTTTTCTTCTTGCGAGTTTTTCGTCTTGCGAAGCACGGTTTCCCATAGGAATGCACTGAAAATCAATTAATGCGTTCCTAGGGAAACCGCCTTCAGACCAGGTCCGGGGACAGTCTGTCCCCCGACCTCTTCTGAAGGCTGGGGGGGGGGGGACAAGGGCTTTTCTTCCCACTGCCAGCCTTCAGAAGGCTGTTCTGAAGGCTGGCGGTGGGAAGAAAAGCCCTTCTTCCCACCTCCCGCCCCGCAAGCTCCGGGGACAGGAGGGCTTTGCTGCCGACCGCCAGCATTTTAAAAGCCCCTGCTGTCCCGGGGCGATTTTAAAATGCTGGCGGGCGGGAGCGAAGCCTCCGCTGTCCCGGGGAGATTTTAAAATGCTGGGGGTCGGCAGCGAACGCTTCGCTCCTGCCCGCCAGCATTTTAAGATCGCCCGGGACAGCAGAGAAGTCTCCGCTGCCCCGGGCGATCTTAAAATGCTGGCGGTCGGGAGCGAAGCGTTCGCTGCCGACCCCCAGCATTTTAAAATCTCCCCGGGACAGCGGAGACTTCTCTGCTGTCCCGGGGAGATTTTAAAATGCTGGGGGTCGGCAGCGAACGCTTCGCTCCCTCCCGCCAGCATTTTAAGATCGCCCGGGGCAGCGGAGAAGTCTCCGCTGTCCCAGGAAGGCAGGCGGGGGGGAGCAAAGACTTTTGCCCCCCGCAGGCCTTCAGAAGAGGTCCAGGACCTCTTCTGAAGGCCGGCTGTGGGCGAAAGTCCTTGCTCCCGACCGCCAGCAATTTAAAACAGGTCCCCGGAGATTTCCCTATGGGCTTTCGTCTTGCGAAGCAAGCCCATAGGGAAATTCGTCTTGCGAAGCGCCTCCAAAACAGAAAACCCTTTCGTCTTGCGGGTTTTCCGTCTTGCGAGGCATTCGTCTTGCGGGGTACCACTGTATTGCCATGCAATTCTGTAGTCATTTTCACATGTATTCAGATACTCTTTAAAAAGCTATTGTAATAAAACAGGCAGAAACTCCTCCCCCCCCACCTTACTTACCTGTTCTTTAGAAATTTTGAATGCCTTCTTGTGGTTATACTTTGAGTAGAAACCCACGTTATTGACAGGGTTCTTCTTTTTCATTCCATAATCCATCTTGATAACCTTCACAGAGGCAAATCAAAAATAAAAATGTACTAAAGTGCAGTGTAGGCACATATGTTAAGAAATCAAAATCATTTAAAATGAGCATTTAAAGAGATTATTCTTACATCAACAATAAAGTCTTCAGGCTTTAATCCAGGCTTGTGAGATAATGTACTGGGCTGGGACTTGGCAATTTCTTCAGCTATCTTACTACACCGTTCCTGCAGGGCATAAAACTTTTTACTTTTTTGTGTATTTGAATCACTGTATTTGAATCATACTCTCAGAAACTGATGAACCAGACCCATGATTAATTTTCAAAATCATTTTCTCTCTCACGCACTGTACAATGTGACAAATAAGGTATTTGATATCACCATGCCATGACCATCAGTAGTGATGACTTTTAATGCTGTCACAGCTTCTCTTCAGGCAGACTAAGGCAAAATTAGTTATCCATTAGAGAAAAAGGAAAGAAGGTTGTAACATTTTATTATTGTTAAGAAATGTTCAATGTTTTGCCGTGCTTTTATTATGTTGAAAGCCAAAGTAGCTGGGGCAACCCAGTCAGATGACCGGGGTACAGGTAAGAATTTATTATTACTATTGTTGTTGAGGGGAAGGAGCAGTGCGGATGCCTTCCTCACTCACTTCATGCAGGATGCCCATGTGATAGGGAAGGGCAGGCAAAAACAGCCTTTTCCCAGCCTCCAGTGGACTTTTTCAGCAGCTTGGATGTGGGAGCAGGAGAGAAATGCAACAAGGATGTTGCCCTCAGTTGCATCATGACTAGTCAGCTTGTGCTAGCAAAGAAGGTGTGGGCTTTTCCAAAGGTTCTTTTCAGTCTAGAAAGCGGTAGTTGTTGTTTCTGCATTGTGGCGCGGCTGGAGAGAGAAGTGACAGAGATGGCCTCCCCAGGCACTTCATGGACCATGCACCTGCTCAGGCAGGCTTTTGCAAGGCATTTGCGGCAAGATAGGGGAGCAGGGAGAGATTAGTGATCTGTGAAGGGGAGAGAGAGAGAGAGAGAGAGAGAGAGAGAGAGAGAGAGAGAGGTGTTGTGTGTCTGTGTGTGTGTGTGTGTGTGTGTGTGTGTGTGTGTAAAGAGAGATATAGAAGCCAGAGATAAGCAAATTGGTACTGAAAAAATCAGTACTTAACAAGTACTTAACCACACTTAACAAGCTAGCAGAGTTAACTAACCAATGTCATTTGAGAAACTGTGCCCACCTTCAGAATTTCCTTGCCCTCTGGGGGCTGAGTCTTTCCCAGGTACTTATACAGGTCACGCCGCACTATTTTACATAAAATTTCCCGTGCTTCTTTGAGGTTGGGCTCATCAGAATGAAGAATGCTTAAGAAGATCTCATCTGCCAGTATTAAACAAATGTCATTAAAGCCAGCTTTTCTTTTGCATAATTGAAACATGTATTATGTGTCAGAATTTAAGAATTTTTTTAATGCTATTATAATGGTAGTCAGCTAGAAATGATCTTTTACATATCTGCAAAATGAAACTCACAAGACCATATTCAATTCAACAGTCAGATTCTGTTGTGTCTCAACAGGGTTAAGATATAGTTCTGTGGGTCTCTTCTCTAACTGCTTTGGCAGTAAATGAAAGGCACCAGAAGGTAACATTTTTGAAAAATTATATCCTCAAACAAATCAAAGCCCAACAACCTCAACCTAGTTTATGGTAAAATGTGCATAAAATGAAACCAAATCAGGAAATAACATTTTGAAAAACACATCAAAAATGTCCACTCATAAACCAAAAGAGCACAAAAGAAAGCAGCCCTAACATAGTCATAACAAGAAGAGTCTGTTTTTTGAGCTGAAGACCTTCCTAAACAACCAGGTTTTGTGCAATGTCTATACACCGCAGTAAAAAAGAGCACAGTTGAAGCATCTGACACTAATTTACAAGTAAGGTAAAGGTAAAGGTAAAGGTACTCCTGACTGTTAGGTCCAGTCGCGGATGACTCTGGGGTTGCGGCGCTCATCTCGCTCTATAGGCCAAGGGAGCCAGCGTTTCTCCGCAGACAGCTTCCGGGTCATGTGGCCAGAATGACTAAGCCACTTCTGGCGAACCAGAATCGCGCATGGAAACACCGTTTACCTTCCCGCCAGAGCGGTACCTATTTATCTACTTGCACTTTGATGTTCTGTCAAACTGCTAGGTGGGCAGGAGCTTGTACTGAACAACAGGAGCTCACCCCGTCGGAAGGATTTGAACCGCCGACCTTCCGATCAGCAAGTCCTAGGCTCTGGTTTAGACCACAGTGCCACCCACGTCCCACTTTACAAGTAAATAACACTTTAATTACCACACAACTGGGATTAGAAAGGTGAGAAGGGTCAAGGGCAAAAGGCTGGACTTTCAAACAAGCATTTCTTAAGGCTCTGTGAAAATGCACCTCTCAACGACATCCCCCCCCCCCCACTGACAATTTCCTGCTTGTTCATCTGCGTCTTGCTCCAACGTGGAGGAGATGAACAAGGAGCATCTCCACTCCCATCGTTCAGCCCAGACACTGAGGTCCGGCGCCGAGGGCCTTCTGAAGGTTCCCTCCTTGTGAGAAGTGAGGTTACAGGGAACCAGGCAGAGGGCCTTCTCGGTGGTGGCACCCACCCTGTGGAACACCCTCCCATCAGATGTCAAGGAAATAAACAACTGTCTTGACTTTTAGAAGGCATCTGAAGGCCGCCCTGTTTAGCGAAGTTTTTAATGTTTGATCTTTTATTGTGTTTTTAGTCCTCTGTTGGATGCTGCCAAGAGGGGCTGGGGAAAGCCAGCACCCAGCCAGATGGGAGGGGTATAATTGATTGATTGATTGATATTTCATTCTTCTTATTATTACAATGGTGGGAAGAAAGAGTAGTAGTAACTGCCACGGCCTGCTTGCTCATTGGGTTCCTCTAGCCAGCAAGCAGGCAGCTAGCAATAATGAGGCAGAGGAGCAGCTGCCATCATTGGAGTGAAGGGACATACTTACTGAGGTAGAGGGGTATACTGAGGGCATCTTGTCCAAGAACCACCAAAAACCTGGGCTCAGCACTAGTAACCAGAAATCTATACATCCCTCATAGCTTCCTTTCCCTTTCTCCATTGCTTTCCGTTTTATCCTGCCTTCCTCCTCCACCTCCTCCACCTCTGCTTATACTCAGTCACATTGGCTCCAGGATTCTCACTAGCCCTAGACAACAGGAGTATTGAACAAGAAATGTTGGTTACAGTTTTGAATCAACACCATGCAATACACACCCATCCTAACAAGATTTTACAGGAGCAATAAATCAAAAGAGAATTTGCATAAGTGGTCATATATCAACCTATTCAAATTAAACAAAGTTGATAAGCTCTTTAACGGCTTACAGAGGGGTAAAGAGGCAGGGAAAAAGAGGAGGCAATTTTTATTTTTCTCTTTCACAAACCACCCCTTAATTTAAACTAGGAGAGGGGGAAGTTTGGAAAATGTGTGGCCATAGGCCTCACCCTTGATAGTTCTGCCACTTGCTTCCCTTCAGCATAAATCCCAACTCTGGAAAGTGAAAGCTCACTTCTATGTGCTGCTTTCTCTTGTGCACAAGCTCAGTCCTTGATCCCCTCCAGGGTTTTTTTTTGGGGGGGGGAGGTGGGGGCAGGACTGTAATCCTATAAACATACATAGAGGGGGTTTTCTGGCATGCATCAGAGGCCTGTACTATCTGTAGGGACTTCCTTTAGCCATCCTTTATACTCATCTTCTACACACAGAATGTGCAATTTATAAATAGGGAGAGAAATGCTGCAAGTTTGCAATACCTAATCCTAGTTTTCTGGAGAGATGATAAGCAGGGGAACAAATCCGTTTCTTATACTATAAATAAATTATTACTTCTTCAAACCTAGTGACAGAAAGACTTCACTTCCTTCATATGCATACAGCAGAATATATAACTCTTTTACATAATGCAATGTACAATGTTTCATTTAAGTGCCATAACAAAATGGTACCCTGACAGAAATGCTTCCAAAATTGATGCAATTAGAATTTAGGTGTCAGTCCAATAAGCCCATACCTGTTAGCTTAGTGTAGGCTTCCATGTCTTCTCGCGCTGTAGCGATATTGTACTCTTCCCCTCCAGATCCCTTTATGCGGATATGTGGGTTAGCTTTCAAAAGGGCATCTGTAATCCTGATATGAAACATGCAACACAAATGAGGAAGAATCCATAAATTCAATATTAACTCCAGATCAAGGATTTCACAATGGCTTTGGAAATAAACTTTTCCAGATTAAGACTGGTAGCAAAGAGCAATACAAAAACACCACTGTTTTTCTAGTCATCAAAATCCCCTTTGAAAAACGATTAAGGAGAAGGGCAGGGACATTCAACAGAGTTTCTCAATGAGACACTCCAGAACTAGGGCTACAACCTTTAATTGATCAATTGGTTAATATTGATTTTTTAAAATTAATTAAATTCAAATTGGTTGAATTAAAACACATCCCTAAATAAATCAGGCAACACTTCTTTAAAAATCATTTGTAGCTGGCAAGCACCATTGTAGAAGCATTCCTCCTTCAGTCATATATTATTAAAATGAATTAATATCCAAGCTCATACAAATGTAATTAATCAACTAATGTAAGATTGGCTAGGATTTATTTGGATACTGCCCTGTCTAGGGCATATCAACATACACTTACTTACATAATTTCAATGATGTTGCTTATTTTATGTTGGCAGGCTCTGCGGTGCAGGCAATTCCGTGTGTGGAACATGTCATACAAATTTCCAACCTCCTAAAGTCCAAGATAAAAAGTATTTTATTCATCTTTTATATTAAAACCACAGTTCCAAGACTTGTACTTTAATTCATCAAATTGGTTGTTTGTTGCTGAACAACTAGGGATAAAATAAAAAAGGTTCCTGGACATAGAAATAATTAGACCGTTCTAAATAATCCATACACAAGAAATATAAAAATGTATTCCAGAACACTAGAGTAATCATTTTTGCAATTAAGATTACTTTCTGCTTATGTGGAGAGGCCTCATGGGGGCTCCTGGAAAGTGGAGCAGTGCATGAAACACAGGATCCTTATGATAAGATGATTCCTTGCATGCATGAGAGCAGAATGCTCATAACTTGGTGGATGATATCCTTGCTTCTGTATTGAGCGTTGCCTTCTACAAGCTTGTGGGGTTACATTTCCTTTGTGTTCTGTTTAATGAAAATACAGTAATCCCTTCTCTTACGCACACATATAGCCAGCCAACCCTTGGAGCTGCCTTGCAGCAAGCGGGTGAGAGACAGCATCCCCAGGATTCAAAGAGCCAGTGTGTCGAACAGGCCTTGCCCAGCAACCAAGGCCAAGACTTTAAAAGCTCATTTTGTGCTGGGCCGTTTGGGTTACCAGGTTTGAAAAGAGCTCTTAGGCTCTCTGTCTAACTTGCTGGGCAAGGCTTGTTCAACATGCCAGCTCTGGAAGATTATGCATGCTTGTCTGAGATCTCGCAGGAAGTCAGATTATCTCGCGAGCACCCCAGAACCTTCCACAGGGCATGTGCTGAGTGGGCCTTGCCCAGCAAACAAAGCATATCTTAAAAGCTCATTTTGCGATGGGCAACGCTAAGCAGAGCCAGAGTGAAGAGAGCTTTTAAGCACTCTGCCTTGCTTGTGACTTGACTTGCATAGACCAGGGAGCACCATGGAAGAGCAACCAAATGCTTGGGGATTAATGCTGGAACTAGAGAGAATAGACTGCGATGATTTGTACCTGCCTTCCATGATAACCCAAACCTTCCCTACCCACTTTCTCTAAACTGATAGTCATGATGGCTATATTAACTCCATTATCAGAAGCAGTATGCCTCTAAAAACCAGTCTCTGCATATGACAAGCAGGGGAATGTTGTTCTGCTCATGTTCTCTTTGTGGGCTTCCCATAGGCATCTGGCTGGCTATGGCAAGAACGTAAGGTTGAATTCAACATACTTTTAGTCTGATCCAGCAGGATTCTTTTTATGTTCTAATTTATGGCCCTTAAACACCAACTCCAACCTATCACCACATGGTCAACCATATGCTATAGTAAGCCTATATACTCCCTACATGTAGTGCGGCTGGTTGAGATGAAAGGTAATGTCTTGGCCAATACCTCGTGCTCCCAAAATCCATTTTTTTCTCAAACTTTCTGTTCTCAAACAGCAGAGAAAACATATATTGCACTGTCTCCTATTCACTTGGAAATGCACTTCTCAATTTATGCAGCATTAGCAGACTGCAAGTTTATCTCCATCTGGACTCATTATACCCACAGTCATAAAGCTCACTGGGTGGCTTTGTGTAAACATTAGCTTTCAGGTTAATATACCTCTCAACACTGAGTGACAGCAAAATGAGACAGTGTTTCCTTGAGCTCCCTGAAAGGGGGGGGGGGATAGAAGAACGAAATAGACAAAAATTTGACGGCGAGTTTTTCAAGCTGCCAACACTATTTTAGTTGGCATTCTCTACTTTCCTCAAGAAAGCTTACCTTGTCACGGGTACAAATATGCTTCTTTCCCTCAAATTCACAGACACGAGCAAATTTAATGAAGCGTACGTGATCAAAGTTGTTCTGGATTCCAAGATGGTGACAATCCCTAAATATATTCCAGAAACAGGCAGGAGGTAAGGTCATTCAATTACAAATTGAGGAGTTGCATGGACCAAGGAAAAGGGAGGGGGCATTTTAAAATTAGGGGGAGGGATCAGGAAGATGTCTCCACTGGGGGCCTCACCTTTAAATAATGTAAAAGGACTCTCAGGGGATTCTTTGAGACTCTATATCCAGCAATTTACTCAATGTATTAATAATTTAAAAATCAATTGCCAAAGGGTTCTATTTTTTTCACATTCCCAAAATACAGATATACAATCTCCAGACACACTTCCATAATAGCAACTGCAATTATCTTCAGACAAATTATGGTTTAGCTGCTTTGCTCCTCCCTGGCTGTTCTGCTGCACTAAGCCATAGCTTGGCTTACAACTCTCCTGGAAAAACCAAGAGCCTTAAACCAGAGAACGAAGTCACTGTTTAGTTAGAAAAATATTGCTAAATGTTATTTAAAGTGCTTAAGACAGTGAAAATCTCCAAGTGGTTTCCATAAAACAACAAAAATGAGCCACTGAGGTCACTTGAGTCTCTAGTGACAGCAATGGATCTAGGAGCACCCCCAGACTACAGCCCTCAGAGGGAATGCAAACCCATCAGAACGGCTAGACAGCCCATCCATAGGGTTTCCATCCAGCCCTCATCTAGCCCAGGCACTGGTTTAAAACATGCACGACTTCTCTTGGTTCATATATTACAGAGAAACAGCTGGGTATCATCAGCATATGGTGCTACCTTGCCCCAAATCTTGTAGAGGTCACCCCCAGCAGCTGCAAATAGATACTGAATTTATTTATAAAAATATTCATATGCCCTGCATCATAAAACTATATCACAGCGTCTTACAACAACACAAGACCATAGAATAAAATCATAGAAAGTACATGGAGTACATGTACACAGAGAAATACCTGGGCTAGGTATCTCTCTATATGAGAGGTGGGGGAACTGGGCCCTCCAGGTGTTGCTGAACCATCCCCAACCATTGGCCATCCTGGCTGAGGTTGATGGGAGCTGGAGTACAACATCTGGTGTGCCACAGGTTCCTCATTCATAGTCTATATCCTGCTCATACTGTATACCGTATTTTTCGCCCTATAGGACGCACGTTTTCCCCTCCAAAAATGAAGGGGAAATGTGCGTGCGTCCTATGGGGCGAATGCAGGCTTTCGCTGAAGCCTGGAGAGCGAGAGCGGTAGGTGCGCACCGACCCCTCTCGCTCTCCAGGCTTCGCGGACCTCTCGGCAAGCAGCGGGAACGCTCCCGCTGCTTGGGGAGAGTTGCCTGCATCCCGAAGCCTGCGCGCGCTGATCTCAGCGCGTCCAGGCTTCGCAGATCTCTCCTCAAGCAGCGGGAACGCTCCCGCTGCTTGGGGAGAGATGCCGGCATCCCGAAGCCTACGCGCGCTGATCTCAGCGCGTCCAGGCTTCGCGGATCTCTCCTCAAGCAGCGGGAACGCTCCCGCTGTTTGGGGAGAGTTGCCGGCATCCCGAAGCCTGCGCGCGCTGAGATCAGCGCGTGCAGGCTTCGCGGATCTCTCCTCAAGCAGCGGGAACGCTCCCGCTGCTTGGGGAGAGATGCCGGCATCCCGAAGCCTGCGCGCGCTGAGATCAGCGCGTGCAGGCTTCGCGGATCTCTCCTCAAGCAGCGGGAACACTCCCGCTGCTTGGGGAGAGATGCCTCCATGCGGAAGCCTGCACACGCTGATCTCAGCGCGTGCAGGCTTCGCGGATCTCTCCTCAAGCAGCGGGAACGCTCCCGCTGCTTGGGGAGAGTTGCCTCCATGCGGAAGCCTGCGCGCGCTGAGATCAGCGCGTGCAGGCTTCGCGGACCTCTCGGCAAGCAGCGGGAGCCACCGCTGGGCTCCCACGGCTTGCAGAGAGCTGCCTGTTTGGGGGCTGGGGTCGGGGGAAGCTCAGGCTGCCCCAGCCCCGCGCCTGGGGGGAAAATAATTTTCCCCCCTTTATTTCCCCCCCAAAAAACTAGGTGCGTCTTATGGGACGGTGCGTCCTATAGGGCGAAAAATACGGTACATGGCTCTCTCAGAAATATTTTTTCATGTATTTTTATTAGTTTTCAATATAACAAAATACAGGGTTAACCAAAAAGCATACGGTTTAAATAGTATGATACCATATAGTATTTAAAGATAAAGAGTTCTTAATGATAGATATATATCCCATTTAAGTTAGACCATTAAGATATTCCATTAATTGGTTTGTCTATGGGTAAAATATTCCCAGTATTGTTTCTCTATAAAATAAATCTTCCAAATGTGTTAAAATGAGCAAAGTCCATACCTGGCAAAGTAATCCCATTTATCAACATCGATGCCACTTGTTTTGTTGGCCACTATCTCATAAAGAAAGCCTTTTCTTCAGGTCGCCCACGGTAAGGCCACTGGAGAAAGGGGTGGAAATACCCAAAAGCAAATAATACATTACAATAAAGCAATCTACTCTGAGCACCAAACTGGCAAAGAAGCAGGGTTCTAAGAACTCTTTGCACATGCTGGAACAGATTAATTGATACCTGCCAATACAGTGATGCCTCGCAAGACGAAAATAATCCATTCCGCGAGTCTCTTCGTCTAGCGGTTTTTTTGTCTTGCAAAGCAACCATATTAGCGGCTTAGCGGATTAGCGCTATTAGTGGTTTAGTGGCTATTAAAGGCTTAGCGGCTTAGTGGCTAAAAGGCTATTAGCGGATTAGCGGCTTAGAAAAAGGGCGGGAAGCAAAAAACATTGCAAGACTTGCAAGACGTTTTCGTCTTGCGAAGCAAGCCCATAGGGAAATTCGTCTTGCGAAGCGCATCGAAAAACGGAAAACCCTTTCGTCTAGCGGGTTTTTTGCCTTGCGAGGCATTCGTCTTGCGGGGCACCACTGTACTTTAGTAATAAGAGATAAAAATTGGTGGAGCTAATAATCACAGCCTAGTTTTGTGATGGAAACAACCTTGGCTAGCCAGGTAATTAACTTACACTGGAATATGAATGCAAGGAGCACAGCCCTATTGATTCTCCTGGACTGTATTCTTATCAGTCAATTGTCTGGTTTGGGTCTAAGTAGTACTACTCCTTCCTGGACAACTGGTTTCAATCAGATTGGCAAGCACACGGAACAGGACATTGTTGGCCACAGCAGCACATTTAGGAAATTCAATTCCATGTGATATTAGGCAAACTCCAGCTTTACATTTTGAATCCGACCCTGGAAACCCATTTTCCCCTCAGTCACTTTTAACAGTTAATTTGAACTGGGCTGCAAAAACAGTATTACTATTTGATTTATAGTGTGCTTGCTTCTGTGGTGGCATTTAAAGATGATCAAAAAGTTTGGCTGTTTTTAACATATTTTGCATTGTTTTGGTGGCTGCAATTTTTAAACTTGTACATCACTCTTTAAAAGATGTTCACAGAAAACAAAGATGAAACTTGGATTAATATTATGTCTAAATTAACTACTTAAGTATTTGATTAAAATATTTAAAGTTGGAGATATAATATTTGAAAATTACAAAATAAGAGCTGAAATAAGGTGATAAATTGCTGCTCATAATTTTATAATTGGGAACGCATGAAAGGGAGATGTGAGGAAGTCCGAAAGGTTATGGAAATATGGTTTCTGGACAGTTGATTCTGTTGTATCTTTTTTTTCATTCTGTGTTAATTTTTTTGTTTTTTCCTTTCTTTCTTGTTTGTACTATCTGGGTGATGGTATTTTATGTGTTTGGTGATTTACTGTTAAAAACCTTAATAAATATCTTTTTAAAAAAATAAAATAAAAGATGTTCACAGAAAAATATTTATTGAATAAAGATTCACTTTCATCCAAATATCAGGATAAGCAAATGAAGTGCCTGCAAGGTGACCTCTTATTGTGTCACTTGCAAATATTCCCTTCATCCAAAAGGAATGGAACCATTAGTTGCACCTCTGTCTTTTGCAAGCTTACTCAGCAATACTTATATCTGCATAGACATGCACAGAATTGCATGAAGTATGAAGCAGCTCAGATCATTCTTTGATCTACCCTAACACATAACGTTTCTCCAAAGCCTCATGCAGAAGCATTAACCAGCTCTGCTGCCATGCATCTTTTAACGGGAAATGGTAGAACAGAGTGGAACATTCTGAACACAAAGCATATGCTTTGCTGTTGAACTATGGCCCCTCTTCAAGATCTATAAAAAGCTCAACAACCAATGGTTCACAAAAAGTAATGAATCTCCCACATGCAACACCTGTCAATTTTCCTTCAGAAAAGATAACACTATTAAGCATTATATTCTATTAAATTGCACAGTATTTACAAAGCAGAAGTAAGACAGAGAACAAGACTTACTGAACTACTGCTTTCTTCAGTCTTAATGGGTCCTGCTATCTGCTCTTTGATAAAGTCTATATCTTCATCCGGCTTGAGACCATAATATTCCAAGACTGGTCTTAGATCATTGGAATCAATCAAGTGTTCAAACATCTTAACAGAAGCATCTTCATGCTACAAAAAAGGAAGTTTTAATTATTATTAATCACAGCATATGCTGTCAAAACAAGCCATCATAACTGTATACAAAAACATTAAGACAACATTACGCCATGGTTTAATGTCAGGTGGATGAGCCTGAAGCAAAGCATTGTGTGTGTGTGTGCTCCTGCTCCCCTCACAGGAGCTTGAACAGAGTTCATTTTCACTTCTGCAAAATCCCAGCTTAACGTCAGATTTTTTCCAGGGATCTGGTTTAAAACAAAATATTTAAAGTGCCACAAAAAGCAAATTTAACTAGCTTGTTAAACAAGCCAGAGTTTCTTTAAATCAGGTTCCCTCATTCACGCATAATGCTGGGTCTCCCACTGCTGCAATAGCAAACAAATACCAGCGGGGGGGGGGGGGGAGAAGAGTTGTTTCCTAGTTTCACATTCTTGCTGCAGCTCAGCTCCTAATCACTAATTCCTGATAAGCAATGGAAGGTTCAATAACCTGAGATGGCTGAAAATAGAAAGGTACTTAGAACAGCAAATGAAGCAGAGAAGCCACTGAAAGAAGACCCTAGAAAGGTTAATGGAACATAATCTCTGAGAAGAAAGGACTGAGAAAATTCAAAGAATTGAAGGGACCCCCACGGGCCATCTATTCCAACTCCTTGCAAAGCAGGTAAACAATTGTGAGGAGAATCAGAATATGATGGCGCCCGGCACAACAATCACCGACAGATGGTCATCCAACCCGTTTAGAAACCTCCAATGAACTTCACCACTTTCTGAGTGAGTCCATTCCATGTTTAGTCAGAACCTTCTTTCTTGTAATTTGAATCAAATGGTTCAGGTCCGACCCACTAAAGCAACAGAAATCAAACTTGCTCCATGTCCCATGTGACAGCTATTCAGTTAATTAAAGATGGCTATCATACTGTCTCTCAGTCTCCACTTCTCCAGGCTAAACATACCCAACTCCCTCAACCCCCAGAACTGGACACAGTGCTCCAGGTGGGGTCTGACTAAGGCGGAAGAGAGTGGCAAACAGTAGGAATTTAATGACTATATTTCACCAATATGGTAACTTTTTTTAAAAAAACCAAAAAACTTCAGAAAATGTCTGGGTACTTTGACTATAAAACACTATAATTGTTAAATGTGGTTAACATATTTTTAGGCAAGGCAGCTTTCCCTTAAAAAAAGAAAGCAGTAATAACTGGTTGCATACCCACCTTCCATGCAGTTCCTGGACAAACACGAGGGATGAACCTTCCATCATACATGTGTGAAAATGGTCCATGACCTGAAAGTAAGAATTATGCAATTCATTTGTGTGGCAAACGTTTGTGTGTATGCATGCGTGCGTGTGGAGAGATGCACAGACACACATCTTCAGTATATTCTGGTATTTTTTTTAACCATAATAAAACCATTTTGTAATACCAAGCCAAAGACTCAACTTTCAGTCCATTAGACCAGGCTACCCTTTGTGCTTCCCCCAGAGTTTCTAATAACCACACAAAAAATATAAAAACAAAATATAAACATGGAGTAGGTAAAATTTCTAAGAATTCTAAGCAAATTCCCACTGGAATATTATTGTTTCCTATTGGCCCTAGAAAAGAGAGAGAGAGGAAGTCAACCAAACCTCTGAGGGTAATTTGTTGCAGGACCTGGGTGGCACCACTGAGAAGGCCTTCTCACCCATCACCTCAGCTGGAGATGGAACATGTTCAAAGAGCACATGGCAGTTCAAACAAGAGGACGCTGTTCTGCAAATATCCTAGGATAAAATTCAGTGCCATACTCTTCCAAACATTATATTTGTGCAAGATTCCAGCTAGCCAGAAAGAATGATGCCTCCTCCTTCATGCACTGTTATGGGGGTTCTCCCAACTCCTCCAGAGCCAATGCTTTTTTGTGGTGGAAAGAAAGGAGGGGCAGGTCTGTTGCACAAGAGGAAGATCTTGAACAGGCCTTCCACGGACAGGGCTGGTTAGGTTAGTCTTGTCCTTAGTTTAGAAACTTAAAAGTTTAAACCAATACTTCACAGCAAAAATCACCTGCCCCAAATCCAGCTCCTATCTAAATATTTTAGAATGGCATAGTACTTTTATTTACCTAGCATGCATCAATCACTTCATTAATATATTTGGGAAGTGGCTTACCCAAATCATGACAAAGACCAGCGATCTGAACACACAAAATATCCCTATGGTTGATGTTCAACTCTGGTTGTCGCTTCTGCAGTGCCTCGATCAAATGGCCTGCTAGATGGCAGACCCTGTTGCAAGAAGGCAAAAGGTTCAGTTCTCCAGTTCTTTGGTTTATAAATAAAATAAGAACTTGCCCCACATTATATATTGTGAAATACCACTAAACATACTCAGCTCATGAATTGTAAACCTATAGAGCAAGGTTGGTCCAAGGACCACATTGCTGGTCAGCCACATCTCCAAGGCCCACATGCCAATGATGGATTTGACCAGTGTATGCA